CTACTCTGGGGTTAAATACAATTGTATCACTGACACGGCCGTATTCCCAGAAGTGTTCTCTTGTGGATAAAAGAGAATATACGGCGATAGTTTTGCATCTAAAAGGATTAATTGTTGTCAATTTCTTCTCAACCATGAGCTTTAATAATTTTTTTTGCACCCCATCGTGACAGGAGGAATGAAAGAAATCGGGAATCAAACTCATAGCCTTGGCTGCCCGTTGATGTCAGCACAGATGGTCCTTTCTTGGGGTTTTTTTGGCTCATGTCCGCCACAAGAGTGAGCCTTACCTAGAGCAAAATTATGGCATTAAAAGAGATATTGTATAATTTCTCCCTGAGAAAGTGCATTCGATCATGATATGAGAACATGGCATACACGGGTCAGATGATTGTGCAGCGCAGAACTGGCGTGCTCGATATAGATGCACCGAGATAAAGTGGGTGTGATTTGTAACTGTGGGTCCTCGATAGTTAAACACTCGTCTCGTAACACACTTCAAATATGTCAAAGACGTCAGATGATCTGGAGATAGACTGTCTTGTGACTCTGATGGCTCTTTCACGTTCCACCTGAGACATTTGGTGATGAATGTAAATACAGCGAGGGAATATCCATGAATCGCGTGAGTTCGCACCAAACTTTTTGCAACAACACGTGACCAGTCGGGTAAACGATTTACCTCGAACACTCCTAAAGATGAACGGATTCAAAGCACTGTTTAAATACATTGCAATATTACTGAATGTTAATAAATCCTGAAAGTGTGTGTTTTGTTCACCCTGTGCAAAATCGTGCCAAATCCATACCAAATGCGTGGGTAACATGCACACAAAAAACGTAACAACAACGATGATAAACATCTTCGTAACTTTGAGCTTTTGAATCGTGCGCTTTCTCATGTAGTCCTTCTTTGATCTGTTGGTCCCTTCCAGCATATCATTGAGCTTCCTAAGTTCCAATCGTACTCTTCTCCCCGCCCTGAAGTAAGAAGTAGCGATTACAACGATAGGGATGACGAAAAAGATCGTAAAGTTTGTTAGCGTGAAAACTCGAACATGCCAATTCTCGGGCCATTTTTCCAAGCAGTGTTCTCCATCAAGCCTCAGTACAAGTGCGTAGGGAATTATCACCAAAATGGGAGCGATCCACGAGACACAAATTGCGATCTTTGCCTTTCTCGGAAGAACTCTTGGGCGAAGGAAGGGTTTCATTACTATGCGCTGACGTTCTAAACTCATTGAGAGAAGTGTGATCACCGAGACCGCCATGAGGACCGTCTGCAACGGATACACCACGTAGCACATGATCGACCCGAACGGGAATCCTCCAATGAGACGCTCTGTCAAGTCAAAAGGTATGCTGACAGCACATGTTGCCATGTCAGTCAGAGCCAAGTTCAGTATGAGATATTCACCAACCCTAAGACTATGACGGCTCAACAATGAGTGAAAAATCATACTGTTTCCTGTTATTCCAACCACAGATATAGTGAAATACAGAACGACTTCAACGATTCGTATGGCAGGCAGCTGGGATGAGCTTTCTCTGGTATGGTCAGTGACGTTATTGCTTGCAAACGTTTCTTCCATTTTCAGGAAAATAATTATCCTCAGCCTGTAAGTTTTCCAAGAGAAATGCCTTTTGTCTGTGGGCAGAATGCATAAACCAGAATATCACTTTTAGGACATAAAAAGAGTTTAATATAAAGCAGTGCAGACTCTATGCTACAATACTTTGAATTTCTAATGGTGAAAAAGAAAAAAAACCGATCAGTGTTTGAATCAAGAGTAACAGGGATATACCAAGGAAATATGGCAACTACGTTTTCTCCCAACTTCAGTAAAAGATTGGTCAGTATTAATAGCCATACACCTTAAAAGTTTCCAACCTCTCTATACCATGTTGTAGTGATATCACATTTTAACTTTCCTCTATCGAGGATATAAATCACTTGGCTTAGAATTTAGCCGGGTTTTCAAAAAGCTAAAACAGGAACAATTTGATCTTTCAGCTGAAGGAGATTGCTACTTCTGTTTGCCTCAGGGTTTCCCTTGAAATGCAGCATAAACGTCTAGCATATTCGTTACGCTAGAGTACTGAGCTGCGAATAAATTTCAAGAAACAGATATCACCTGCAAATGAGAAGACAAATACTAAAAGTAGTAAATGTTTCTCGGTTGATTGCGCAGAATACTTGAATAACATCTCGGATTACCGAGGTACAGACAGGAAAAAAGGGAAGTTTTGTTAAATTGATGGCAGCAACAATATATCTGCCATCATTTATAATGAGACAGGAGCTATGACAGAAACTCTAGCTCTTCACTTCCACATTCTAGTTCCTTTTAAAAAAAAATTTAATTCTTATCAGGTGTCCTCTTATGATATCAAGTTTCCGTCTCAAATTACGAAAAAAGCGTTCAACCTTCTTTACTTTGCTCAAAGCATACTTTTTTTTTACATCAAACGTATCTTATTCAAATATGATGAAAACGAAAAACAAAAACCAAATTTCAGCGTTATACTTTACAGATACCACAGTGAAAAAGTTTACCTGCATCAATTATAAGGGAAGGATGAGGAACCAATTGCCATACAAAATAATGATATTGTGATAATTTTTTTTTTGCATATGTCCGCATATGCAACGCAGCCAGAGTATCTGAACAAATTTTAAAAAAGCGAGAACAATTTCCGAACATGAGAACATTTTTCTTCGTTTTAAGTTATTTTACAGCATTGTTTATATAAACACTTCTGAAATTAAGAGGCACTTGCTCAATACCAAACAATGTGCGATTCTAGATGGGGCAACATTTCTAAGCTCTGTGGAGAAAGTCACTGTGTTAATTTCCCACACGAACATTGAAAAATAGCCTGGTAGGCAACTGAGGCGTGCAGTAACTTCGGTTGCGAAATGCCGGATCATACTTAGGAAATTTATTTTACACTAGAGTTTTCAAGATAGGTAGCTTGAACATGCATTATATTTGTGATTATAAGAAATTTCAATATTGTTACCAATAAGGGCACGAATCAGCGATAAAAATAAAACATCCAGAGAACCACTCAGTTCGAATTGTTAGTCTGCAGAAAAATTATCAATTCACTGTTTGAAATCGCACTGACCTTTATTCTTGAATCCAGTCTGTAATAAGGATTCTTAGTAAACCACTAAGGATGCAAAATACCTAATGTGGTTTAAAATATTCCCAGGTATGTTTTCGTAGTCTTGAAACATCCTCCGCTTGTAAATCACTGCCTGCGTTTTCTAGTTACTCTTTCTAGATGTTTCTTCTGAAAGCAGACGCAAGCTTTCTGCGTCGATCACTGAAATTCGTGCGATATGTCAAGTGATGGATCAATTCGCCTTAGTAATTGTCGAGCGCTATCTGTTGAGATCGAATTGCAAAGTAGAAATGACCTCCTGCGCTTCCGTCAATTTATCACCGTGTCAGGGATGCCTTACTGTTTCATTGGGCAAAAAAAAAACAAATTACATTCAAGGGATCGCTAAGTGTTACTAATTGTCGTTTCTGGTCGATTCACTTTTATTTCGTTTTGTGAGTGACTGTGCTTGACTGGAGCCTCAGGGTGACGTTTTGTTTGAACGCGTTTTATGAAGTTTTGTGATTGCCGCACGACCACGCCCTTCTTAAAATGTTGGGCAGTATATCATTAAGATTATGCAACTGGATTACACAACTACTCTGATTTTTTTTGGATCGGCGGGCCGCGATCTTTCCCCTAAATGATAATAAAAAGCCGTTAAACGGTGAAACGATTTTTGTGTGGGTTCACTTACATCCTTTGAACCACGCATCCACAGTAAAGTGATCGTGCATGGAAATATCTCAGGACCACCATGGGAGATGACGATTCTCACCATATCTCTCTGTTGAATATTTGTCAGTGTCTGACCTCAGAGATCACTAGTCATCGTCCATACGTCTGTCAGTCTATCGGTATCCTTCATACTAGCCCATCTTGTACCCTTATTCTATCCCGTATTAAGCCCCGTTAACCATTGACATTGACAACTTACAATATTGCTGCTAACGTTTCTTGTCAAAAGGGAAGCGACTTTCCTCCACAGTGCTTTCGTTGACTTTGTAAAAATGCCTGTTGCATGAAATCTACCGGTATTTCAGTCAAGTTTCCACCAAATTTTATCTGCTGGCCGTTTGTTTTCTCAGATGGAAAGAAGCGAAGAGAAAGCAATCTTTCTTACAGCAGGGTATAAGAAATTGAATGAATGAAAGACAGTTTGGTTGCTGTTTGTAAGTCTATCTGTCTCGTCTGTCAGTGTCTCTCAGAAACGACAGAGTCAGAATAAATATGTGGAAAGGCTCAAGGGGCAATGGATCACTGATATACTGAGGGCAACCTTAGAAGTCTTAACATTCAGGAAAAATTATGTTCAGCGTCTCAAATTGACGAGACTTGAAAATGTGCTATAAGATAGCTGAAGAGGTATAAAATGATCATTCCCATTAATGCAGCTTGATATATTTTAATGGAGCCAATTGACTCATTTGCAAACCTTTAGCCTGTTAACGCACTCTTTACCAACTTTAAGTATTACAAATTACAAACATTTTAATCAACAAGGCCAAAAGAACTTAGAGGCAATGCTCACAGAGTACAGAAGCTATTTCCTGCTCTTACCAACATTTCTTAAATGCTAAAAGCTTGTTTAGTATTCAAAAGAACACTTCATAACATCACTATTCAAAGGCTTTGTCTTCAAAACACACAATTTTCAGATGTATCTATAATTTTGTAAGTATAAAATGTTCTCACGGTGTTGGAGCAGAAATGTATTAAAATAACTCAATCCATAGCTACATCAACATCTACCAAATCTGGTGTGTATTTCAGTCGCAGTATTCTACCATCTTGCAAATTTCTCTCTTATAACCAGTACACCTTTCTATAGTATGTGCCTATCTATTCAAAGTTTCAACATTCCCCCTCCTCTCCCCCCCCCCCCCCCCACCATGATGCATTTGACTGGCATTTGCACCCAGAGAAGTGGGGAAGTGGGGAATTTAAACCTCGCCTGGGTGGGGTGGAGAATTTGAAGTATTGCAAAGATAATGCAGAGGTCTTGAATTCTGTGTAGGGACAAAGAGAAATTATTAATAATTAGAATATCATTTTAACATCATCACCATTATCATCATTGTCATTAACATTATTGCTACATGCATAGTGGATTTACTTTTTCGGGTGTTTAAAGGTAAAGAGTTAATTTTGGTGAACAGATGGCCTTTTACAAAAAAAGAATTGATCATCAAATCCAGCACTTAGGTGCAGCATTTGAACAATATTTTTGCCTCTATTTCATAGGATTTCCTGAAACAGATCTTTTCCTTGCTTACATCCAAAAAAATTAAAAAGTGGTCCAGTATGTACAATGAACATGTACCATAGAGGTATTTCTTTTCATAGCAAAGTTATTAATTCTAGTAACATTTATAGAGCCCATGAGCACTCTTCACACTTTCCACTCCTTAAATTTTGCCTGAGAAAGCTCCACCATTATTTACATACACACCCATATTTCAAGAAAACATAAAATCTGTACTTCACAACACCAGACTTTCTCCATAAACAGAAGAGTGGTCCATTAGCGATGAAATATTTATGAACGACTGGGTTGTTATAACTTTTTTCTTCCTTGCTTTAACATCCAGATTCCTTATTTTGAAGACTGTAAAAGTAATCAGTGAGTCCTTGCAAATTCTTGTCTTAACCATTGAGAGTCCTTATAGAATCTTGGATCTCCTAGTCGCAAGGCCGTTCTCTTGTAGAAGTAATAATATAAAACAGCTCCTGAAGGAAAGAAACAAAAATAATAAAATTGAAGCCTAACAAAAGTTTATGATATCATTTTTCGTCTTGAGTGTTCTATGCGGTGCTTGTAAACATGTATATCAAGTCTTCTTCCCTTTCAAACATCTATGATATAACCACACTCAGAGCTGCAATCTTTTTTTTAGCTCACCACTACACTTTAATATCATAATGATGACGACTTGTAAGTATTTACTTAAGATATTTCTCTCAACTAAAGAAAAAGTGGTTGATGGAAAAAAATTCACAAAACCTTAAAACACTTACCCACTCTTTGAAAAACAAAAAGTGCTTGGAAAGCTTCATTCCAAATAAATGCCTGGGGAGCACCCCATTTTAATGTCTAAAAAGCAAGGTTAAAAAAAAGGCAACCAGTTTATAAATAAACTGTTAATAATTCTAGGACCCCTGTCAATCTACACTTCTAGGTAACAAAGTGTGCAGACAACCTAAGGTATTTGTATTGGATTTCTTATACATTCCTCAAGGTTCAAATTTTTAGTTTGTATGGGGTGGTAGCAGAATTCAAATGATGTTGAGTTGTGTTCTTGGTACATGAAAAGCAAATTTGCTAACATGTTAACCACACAGAGATCTATACAGTGTACATTTAGACTTGCATTACAAGCGTACACATGAACTTTACATGGGTAAGTGTAGCGTAACCCCTCCACCCTGCACTGTATGTAATTCAAACAGCCTTGGAAAACTCTTTCAAAGTAGAGGCTCACTTAGCAATTATCTACATGTAATGTTTAGCTGCTGATAAAATAATTTCAACCACAGAGATGCAAGTGTCTAGTGATGTAACACCTAACATCAACTTTTTCAAAACTACAACCTGAAGCTTACCATAGTCCATACATGTAGCCCCACTGATAGTGCTAAGTATAATACAGAGATAATGATAGTTGTCTTGAATTTTCTGATTAGTAGGGACACCAATCCAGCTTGGAAAATGTATGTGTTGAAAAATACCAAAAATACCACAATAATTGCAAAGATAATGCAGAGGTCTTGAATTCTGTGCAGGGACAAAGAGAAATTATTATTAATTAGAATGTCATTTTAACATCATCACCATTATCATCATTGTCATTCACATTACTGCTACATGCATGGTAAATTTACTTCTAAAGCTGGTAATACAATGACAATAACAATGATAATTCATTTTTAACTATAACGTGGTTTGGAAATCTGATTATTTCTATAAACATTTATCTCTCAATAATTTGTGTCCTCTGCAAAGATGCATAAATATGAGAGACTATACCAATCAAAGCTGTTGAATACCAGCCAATCACAGCTGAACAGTGGTTCAGAGGGTGACATGTCTACAGTTGACCTTATCACCTGAATAAAAGTAGCTGTGAGCAGTCAAAACATTTGGGATTCACATCTTAAGTGTCTACATTATGACACAAATGATCATATTTCATTGCATGAGAGGCGGCTCTTTTTGGTTTTTTTTAAATCTTTGTATCTTGTTAAAGGTAAAATGCTACATGTCATATTTTGATCTCCATACACTATACAACATGCTAACCTTAAAGCTATCAATAAGACTTGATCAGAAGCATATATGTTTGCACAATATAAATTCTTCATTCTTCCATGGATTTGCAAAGCAACCTTATCAGGGTTAATATCTCTGAGTATTTCCTAACCTATGCAACATAATACAACAGGCAAATATGGGATCACAACACCAGGAGTTTTTTTTCTCCACTTCAAGCAATAGAACTGAAAGAGCGGATTCATTAGTGTCCCCTGCTGAGAGTAGCTCTTTAGTAAGCCCAACAAATTTTTCAAACATGACAGTGTGGCCATAAATAGAGGCTTAAGAGTCATAAAGAAGTTTAGTAAAATTGCTCAGGTGATTAAAGAGATGCATGCAGTCTAACTAATCGAGGATTGCATCAATCTGTCAGTAATCACCCTACCCAAGGTGATTATAGAAAGGGTGTGTATCAGATTGAACTGGTGGCAATAGGCTATAGGTTAGAAATGTTAATCCTCTTTAATACTTGCACATGGACATTGACAAGACTGCTGAATATCATCTAAAATTTATTCAGTTTTTACCTCAACCTTGTAATTTATAAACAGACCCCATGATTGATGAGCCAGACCGTGCATCTCTGTTCTTTGATACCCAACAAGTTGGAAGCAAAGAAACAATATAGAATTTATCAGTTTTTCTCGATAATCACCTGAACAATTGTACTAAAATAATTATTTGCCTCAGGCTCAGTGAACATTGTGAACTAATCCTGAAAAGATTTAGTCCAGCATGCCAATCTGTTGGATTAACTCTGAAATCAGACACTAAATGCAAAATTTATTTCTTCCTCCTGTGAAGTTTCAGAGGGTTAAATTTGTAAAAGGATACTAAAAATAATTTTAGTGACAGATGAATAAGGTGTTATTGTTTAAACATCTTTACCTTCAAGCTATTTTCAATTCCCAAGTATCTATTTCTATACCAAATAACAGTGTGACATACAAACTAAGGTATTAAAAGTAAGACTTACATCATTTAGCAAAATAAGCTAAGAAAGGTGAGACTCTTAGGGACAAAAGACCTGGCCCCAGTTGTGCGAAGGTCAGATAATGCTACCCACTAGATAAATCTCTATATGGTGGATAACGCTATACGTTTTGCTATTACTTATCTGCTGAATAGCGTTTTATCTGCTGGATAGCATTATCTGCCCTTTATACAACTGAGCCCTGTCCGCTAAAACTTTCTCTTGTATAGTATATAGACAAAAATGTTCTTAGTTAAGATTCAAATGACAGTTAGAAGCATCCCCTGTGAACTGATGAAAAACAGAATAATAACTTCTTGAGGTGTTGATGAAATCAGAGGAAGGCAGATCAAAACAGGTGAGCATATGGATGACGCTATGCACATTCTCACACAAAGCTGGATAAGAAAAATCATAGTACTCTGATCCATCTCAGATGAAAATAAACCTAAAAAGTGATACAGCCTGTCTGACGAACACACGTGACCACAACATACGCTAGCGTGATTTGAAACAGCGATTTCGATAAAATGGTCAAATTTATAAATTCTCACCTGGAGTCAATCAATTTTGTACAATTCTAGTGGCGATACTATCGTCTATGAATAATTACAAGTTCCTATCCGTTTCTCGCAAAAGTTTTGGCATTTTCGCTTTTTTCCCTCAATCTTGAAGCTGTTGATCTGACAATGCCACTTTCTAATAAAGTAATTGAACAGTAATCCGTTTGCACGTCGATCAAAAGTTAAGAAAATGCTGCAAATGATCTCAACACAACATGCATAAATATTTTACTTTCACACAATGTGCACGCCTCCATGACCACACGAGAAGTTGAATGCACGCTTGTTCATAAAGTGGAACAGAATCAGACGTTTTGTTTCCAGAAATAACCGAAAAAGTTTAAGGAAATTTACAAGTGACGCATCGGATAAAATCCAGAAGTTGTCACAATTCATTCGTAAAAACATGTACAGTCGACTTTTGAATAACCATAACTGAATGTGGTTTTCAAGGGCACCACATAGCCTCAAAACTACAAATCACTGTTTAAATATTTTGAATAGATATTTAGGTAAACTAACCCAAGTAAAAAGTTCTCTCAAGAAAAACAATACTAGTAACCATCGACTCGAGAGGGAAAACAATTTTTTTTGAGTCGGAAATGCCCGCCGAAACACCCGTAGGGAAAGTTTACTCGATAGTGGTGAGTTACTCACATGTACAACACAAGAAGGACGACGTCTGCAGTTCGGAAGAGCTCTCCAAACGAATTAATGAACAAATCTACGAAAAGGAACAAAAGTTGCAGGTAAACTACGAAGCAAAATCTTGAAACTTTCATCCTTTGTCAACCATGTTTGTTTGACAACATTGAATGAATCCGCTGACAGAGGCGGTAGGCGAACTGGTAACTAAAGGCGGGAAACGCCTTGAAGAAATCATGCGACTGTGTGTTTGAGTACAGAACCCAGTTAGTGCCATCACGTATTTCTCATCAACTCTTTTTTTTTGTTTTTTTTCTTTTTTTCACGACATTAACTTTCCTGCCAGACTTCAGCTTTCCTGCACGGCTTTAACATTCCGGCGCGACTTTAGTTTTCTGACGTACACGACATTAATTTTCCGACACGACTTATTATGCCACGACCTTTAACTTTTTCTACCGGAAGACTCAACGCAAGAATCAACGCTGCAGGTCACCGCCAGCCGATTGCAATGTGTTTACTGTAACACTGTTTGGTTAAAATTATGAATAAATTTGCAACTGGGCAAAGCTAAATTGGATAAGTTTTCTCCATCAAATTATGCTTAGTGTGCTTGTCTTGCACTCAATTGCTAAAAAATAAATCAGTTTTCAATTGAGGATAGAATATTTGCGTTGACTTGAGTTAGACTTGTTCTCTGTATCGCCAATGTACTGAGAAGAAATAAAGTCATAGTTAAAGAGAACTAAAGGCATCAAAATTAACCGAATATCAACGCGAAAAGCTAATTACTGCGACGGAAGATTTTACCGCCGTCCAAGAACCGTCGTGGTTGCAGTTAAATCAAGAATTGAAGACTTGCTTCCGTGGATGGCTTCACGGTACAAGTTAACCTTTTATCATGTGGTTTTTTTGAAAATTTTCCTTTTTTGGTGGAAAAATTGAAATCACTTTAATTAACACTAGTTGTAGAGAGATGAAGCATTATAGGTAGTTACAACTGTACGACGTCATCATAATGATACTAATTTGATATTGTTTAACATTCCTGATTGTAGAACATGCCATACTATAATTTGGAAAGTAGCGAAGTACAAATTTCTCCGACTGTTTTATCCTCGGATCTAGTTACTCCAGCAGTACCGAGAAAAGTCACTCTTCCATCTGTGGGGTAAGTCAGGCTCGGAATTTTCACAGGCATGTGAAAATAAGGGTGGTTTGAATGCAAGTGAACTTGCTCAGTCGTATTAGCACTGCTTTTTACAGCCGTTACAAAAGAAATGATATTTGCGAGGAACACCTGAGACAAGGCAACGATTAGTCATCTGTTGACTACCCTCTGCATTTTTGCTTGAACCTCTGATTATGGAGTTATGGTCAGAAGAACTGCCATAAACGCCACAGTAAATGCGCTCGAAAATTGTGACTTGATACTGTTAACTTTCTCACGATCTGAATAGGGTTTTCCGAAGGCCGAATAATGTAACGAGCTGGGGCTCCGAAAGCACCAAATATGGAGGTATAGGAAAGCTGCCTTTGTTAACAAAAACTTCCCATGCAGTTAACTATGACGTCGTCACAAGTCGCAGCCATAAACATTACTCCAGTAGAGTCAATGACTAGTAGGTGAAACAAATTATCATACTTGTTATCAATAATTGAATTGTTAATACGATGGGCTATTTCAGTGAGAAATACGTTCATTTTTAGTCAGACAACAGTCCATACAAGCTTTGCCGTTGATCACAATCTTTTCCTATTGTGGCAAGTTCGTTAAGTCTTTTGGTAATCATAGGATGACCGGTTCATGAATAGCCTGGTCATCCCTTGAAAAAGACATCTTACTCATCTTTTCCAGCAATGCATGCTCTCAACCTTATGCTGTTACCTCGCTATCTCTCAGCGGATGCAGAATGAACGATCAGCTGTAAGTATTTGTGATAGCTTTCCTTGGATTTAAATCAGTGATATGGGTAAATGTCGCGGCAGTGGAATTCATGGATATATTTGACTATTCCATACCGGTTAAGTATTAATAACAGGATAGCGTCATATTCCTTTCGTCATTGTCGTTATTTCATCATTTGCATTGAATTGGGTGTTGTTAAAAAAGGCGGTTACCGTGGTTAGTGATCAGCAGCTTATGAAATAATACTTGAAAAGATAAGAATTCAATTTAAACTATAGATGGCAAAAAAATTCCCTTTATTTCGAGCCAAACAACAAGTCAATAAATGTGCGAATCATTTCATTTTCTTTTTTTTCTGTTTTCTTGCAGATTGCCAGCTCCCTTGAACACTGAGTAAGTGTTAATGTCAAAATGTAGCCATGTAACATACACAAAGAAGAGTTTGACAAAAGATCATGTAGCAATTTCAATGCACTACATGTTCGCCAGCTTCAGTATGGTAACAGCCAACAAAATCCCCTTGTCAATGTTGGGACTAATGTAACGTCTTTTCAGACAGTACACCTGCTCAAATGCAAGAAATTTTGAATGGAACCTCCTTTCGTCTTGTCATCATGTTTTCTTTTTTTTTCCTTGTACCAGGCATGGAAAATTGGACGAACCTTGGCCTGGACATCCTTACACGTCTCACATTTGTCAGTTTGACGTTTTTCCAAGATTTGACCCTGTGCGCACAAAATGTGATGGTATGACTATCAAAGTCTGATTCTTCTTTGGTTAAAAAATTGTATTAGATGTTTACGTCCTCCCACCCCTCCCCTCTACGGTTGAGGATTCTTTTTTTTTACCTTGGCTTGGACTTCCACGAAAGTTTTAATTACAATTCGTGTTCTATTGGTTTCGCTTTCCGTCGGTTTTTCATTGGTCACTTACTTCTAGTGTTGCTTATTCGTGGAGGTCTCAAGTAAGTCTCGGAATTATCTCGAGGCATGTGAGGTTAGCTAGATTCGTAAACCCAAACGAGCCCAAACGCCTTCAATTCACCACCCCGTTAGGTATGTAAAAAAATTTTAAAATTCGAAAAAAAGAGAATGATAGCAGGACAGATTCTCACTAAACAACCGTCTGATCCAGTGTCAAATTTGCTATATAATAAATGAACCCACGATCGAGTTTGCAGAAGTAGTAGTAGTAGTAGAAGTAGTAAAGATTGCAGCTGGAGGTCTACACTGATGCAACATTGCAGTGAAGACTGTCGGCGCCTATTGCTTAGCGTGGGCGACCATGTGTAGCTCAGCTGCTCTTGCTAACGGCCCAGTAGTCGAAATGAATATCAAACCAGTGCGATAGCTTTCTCATCTTTCCATTATTTTCGGCTCTGTATTTCAGTTCCATGTGGAAGGAAACTTAAGCAGGTAACCTGAACGTCATTTAAAATAGAATTTGCCGGTATTTTTTAAGAAACGAGTGAGAGTCGCATTTTGTTTTCATTCTTGAAAACAAAAATTTGCATATGATTGACAAAGATGGTCTAGTAGACGTTCATCCAATTACAAGCGTAATTAATAACAGACGTGCGTATTTCATATTTACACTTCCTACATTCTTCTGAGGATACTCACGATAATAATTTATTTGGGCATAAATTAAAAGCTTCAGGTAGGAAATAGTTAAACAAGCGTTCAAAAAATTGATGCACCGGTAACTTAAGGCAAGTGACTTATTCATTCGTTTGTTCAGTCATTCATTAATTCATTTATTTACTCAGGTCCTACATGTACATCCATTCTTTGATAATTACAATTTACAATACTTCTAGCCGACGACTACCTTAGGCAATTTATTTTTAGCATTTCGTGGGTGAATCGAAGATGACAGCTCAAGTATAATACTCAAGAATGCTGAATAGTAGGTAAAGATTACAGAACAAGACAAACTGATAGAGGTCCGTCATAAATTTAAAGAAGCGTTCAGACCCAGAGCTGATCTTCATCTAGGGTATCGCTAATCTATAATAATATTTTCTTTTACAGAAATTAAACCCTGCAACAGAAGAGGCGTTGGAAAATCTATCAAAGAGGATATATCGCACTCCAGTATACCAAGAAAACATTAAAGAATTACCTAAACCCAGCCCTACGGTGCTCATAGATCTTATAACAATCCAAAACGAGAACAAAATGCCAATTGGAATGGAAAACTGGCAAGTAAACGACCAGGAAGAGTTAGATAGAAACGAAACAAGAGAGGAGGACGAGGAGGACGAGACAGAGGTGAATGAACTTATGAATCCAATTTTTTTTTCTGACACTCATGAAAGTTCCTTGGTTTCCTGTTCAGAAAATTCTCCAGGGAGGATCAAAGACGGAACGCTAGCGTACGAAATATCGTGCTCATATACTCTACTATCCTGCCTGTTCTGGTTAGAATTTTAAAGAACAACTCAAATCCCGGCAATGTGAGTTCTTACGGCTTCTCGTCTTTTTTGCCACTATTTTATGTTGTAGGAGAGCAAAGAGTACTGCGAGCGTAAGAGCGAGGGCAAACTCGACAACGAAAGGGTGCCAACTGATTCTGCATCATCAGCAGTGTGGCCCATATGGCCAGTTGGACTCAAAATGAGAAAAACGCCGCTGAACTACCCTAAAATTCCACTCCCTGTGTACACCCCGCTGGACTTCTCAAAACGAGATCAGTCACAGAACAGTAACAACTGTAGTCATGTCTCAGGGGAGCAAACTACGCACTGTTTGCAATTGGACGCTATGTTCACTAAAAGCCACACCAAGAAACATGCTACATTTACAAATCAGTACGTCCCTGCATTAACTGCATATAGATACAGCTCTTTGGGTCTGGAAGATTCAAAGCACCTGAAGTTTACAAGTCCAGAGACTAAGAACTTGAAGGAAATGCAACCTGTTCATGTTAGTCTCGTCCCGGTCAAACATCCGGCTGGCGTTGATTACGTAAGACTTCCCCTGATTGGACGAAAGAAAGCAACTGAGCAATCCCGTGAGCCCCAACCAAAGAACCACTGCGCAACTAGGATGCTGGGAATACGTTTTAAAACGGATGCACACAGAAGGTATGTCACGAAGAAACATTCTTTTACTAAAATATAAAAACTGAACATGTCGACTATTCTACTGAGGCACATTGAGCGTAATTTTTGTCAATTAGATATTTTTTATCGTTGTGGCCTCTGGTGTTGTGCTTTCAAAATCTGACGAATTTCTTTTCACTTTCTCCTTAACCGTGTTTCGATTTCTTAAACTCAAGCGAAACTTGCTCTTCTTTTAATTACTTATCTTTAGAAGGCTCCTCATCAGGTATTTAAAGGATTACATGAAAATGCATTCGTGACAGGCATACTGGAAGGCTCACAAATATGCTGGTTACTTTGTGAAATTACATAACTTCCAAGCTCCTTTTTTTTTTTAATCCTGCTAGTTGTTTTGCGTTGATTATTTAAATAAATCATTATGTGATAAAACATTCAATACCAGAATTCAATTCTGGTATAATAATCAAACATTGTATCAACATTGATCAATACTAAAAATAACCTAAACCTTGTCACTTATGGATTTTTCTCAGCTTAAAAAGTCACTGGAGGCGATTAATTTAAGTGTTTGTTCAATTTTTGCAAAGAAATAAGCAGAATTAGTGTACAGAAATGTACAGAGGTTGGATGAATATGAGCTGCTACTATCCCATTCCGCGCGTCGGAGTGAGGTCACTTGCACCGACAATTTTTTAAAGCTTGTGTGTTATCTTTTGTAAAGCCAGGCTATCTACAAAGCCTTTGAGAATCTGGTTCAGGGGTCAATCTGATAGCGGGTTTCCTTTAAATCTTGGTTGGCAATTTAAGCGTTCGGTACGTTAGATGCCCTTTTTTTTTATGCTTGCTTGAGCAGGGTCAAGGTATCTCTCATGACTTCCTCTTCTGTTGTTATTTTGCCAGGTATAATACCACTTACACAAACGTTGTTCCTGATCTCAGAGATTCGGTGAACACTGGAAGAAGGCATTTCTTTTGGGGAATCCACGCATGCGCTTTGAGATAACGTATCTCGCAAGGTGACATTTCATACCGAAAGGATAAATTTCATTCTGTGGGGTCAAAGTGTGAGTTTTTATATTACGAAAACATGACTGGGTGCCGAAAGGTTTCTCGAGACTTTTATGAGCCGTGGTTATTGAGTTCACCGGGCTCAAAGACTCAAACTGAGTTAAAACGCATCATGGAAAGATGGACAAATAAACGGTGAAATTCAAAAGAAAATAAAGGGGACTTTGTTCTCCCGATTGGTCTAAATTGTGGATTTATTTAAATGTTCTCGACCCGCGACCGTCTTACCACTCAGTTCTGTGCGTCATTCTTTGTAAACAAAGGATTAAATCAACGAGCTTACCGTGTATGACGTTCAGAATGGACTTTGACGTCTGTTCCTATTTTTTTTTCGAAAAACTTTAAATTTTGACTGATTTTAACCATAAACGATTATAGTTTCATACTGAAGGTCCTTCAAGACAGTGCATGTACGTATACAATGTACGTATCATATGTTCCGTACGAACAAGAAGCCGTAACACATAAAAGTGACTGAAGATTGTATAGAAATTTCATAACTCGGTGATCGGTATCACTGCTTCCAGTTACCTCTACAGGTTTCAAGTTATTCTTGTCGTTTGCTTTCTGTCGTTTATTTTCTGTGTAACATGATCGAAAGGCGAATAAAAGCGAGACGTCTAAGCTCGAATGATAAGATACGGCGAAGTTTGTATGTCTCATTTTTATAGTCGTGTCTGAGGGACCGTTTCGGGAAATCTGGCTTATTCAAAATAAGTAAACTTTTTATGTAGATCAAACCGGAAAGTGTTTCTAAAAATGTCATCCCATCTCCCACATGGCAATTACGAAAATTGTTTCTTTGTATGTTTACTGATGTGACGAAATTAAAGATGTTTCATAAAAGGAAAAATATTGATTTCCTTTCCGCAGAGACACTAAATTACTTTTTCCATTGCATGCGTGAACTAAGTGGAAATCGAATATTTCCTAACAAGGCACTTACACGTAAATTAATTCATAAAACGAAAAAGTACTTTTCACGTCTGTCGGGGAGAGACAAAGTTAAGTAGCTTTAGTAATAAATCGCTGTATTTGACTTTGAGTGGGAGACAGATTTACCGGCTGAAAGAAATGTCTGAAATGTTTTTTTTTAGTTTTTTTTCTATCTAATCAAACGCTGATAGCAACTTCAAATGAGCGAAAGGTTGTGGGGTGCTGATATCAATTTCTTACCCTATGATTTCAACCGCAATAATATCGACAATTATATAAACATAACCTTTAAGTAAAATCCCACTCAAATAGTTTTAAAGCTTTGTCGCTGGTTACTTGCTCGTATATTAAGACTAAGTTAAAAATTTTTGTCAAACGAATGCAAGCGATGCTTGTTTCCTGAGTTCAATATAAGATATTTAAACGGTCGTTCGGGAAAACAATTGATTAAGATGATTAACGTTCAACCAAGCAAGCACAGCTTCGCGATCGTTCGTAAAGCGAACATCGATTGATCAAATCCATGGCCCAATTTTTTCCGCCACAATTCTGTCTATTTGAGTGTGTGCGCTATCGTTAAAATTTATTTACATCCTAATTCTGAAAATAACAGCCGAATTTTTTCTCAACCCCAATTAAGCACCACTGTTGATGAGAGTTCGTTTCTCCGACCGAGCGGATAGACCACAACCGAGTTCCGTTTTAGTGTATTGATAGAGCGAAGGTCACTTTAGTCTTATTACGCAAGAAGCCCCATACTAAACGCCCACTTATTTTGCATTTGATTTTCGTCTTCGATTATATTATATTGTATTTTTGTAATGTTTTGATCTCTCCTATTAGAAATACCATGCAATATCAACCCTCCATGTCATCAGATTCAATTAAAACCATTCGGTAATAAAAGTAAATCTCTCTACCTTAGTTACCCCTTCCTATTCAAAAGAAATGTGAGTGAAAAATTTAGGAATTTGCAATTCTAAGAAATTAATAAAATTATTTCGAATGCTATTTTCATCTGTGCCCGTCGACCAAGTGAGCAGAGTTCCTATGAAAAAGAAAAATTGACTTATTTAGCTATTGTTATTTTATTTTGGTGAAACGTTTCGTAGATACGAACTCTCCGTTTTAGCAATGTTTTTGTCTGTCTACATTTTGAAAGGAGCAATTGTTAAATGATTGAATATTTGCAAAGTCGACCGACCAATCCTGAGCGTCTTCGCCTACTGTCATTTTACGGACATACCAGCAAGTTCAAGAAATCACCTGTGCGACGGAAATTATGTTGGTTTAATTATGATAATATATTTTCATCTTTCCAAATTTGGGTTATAATATGTGAGTTTACAGCCTCCAATTGGTCAATGATGATAATTATTTCACAATAAGCGGTGCTCTCTTTCGTGTGCGAACAATAGACCGGTCACATAAAATTCAATGACTGCTGTGGGACGGTAGTTCGTTGGTTTCCGTGTATTCCTCGCACAGTATTTTCTCGTCATGGAGCATTCCTCTTTAGATTTAAGTATAGTAAAGAAGGAGCCGGGATTTGACGAACCTTTTTCGTCCGAACACGGGATATTCGACAACATGATGTCAGATGATTTTCACGACACAAGCTTCCATTCAGTGGTGAGTGCAGATTCCATTCATACGCCTTGTAGTAAAACCACTCAAATTACTGTCTATATAGAAATTTCATTTGTCTGCTTTTACTGACATTTCCTGCTTTCTCTGTGCAGCACCACCTCTCTGAAGAAGTTCCCGTGGACTGGCTATCAGGATTTTTTGACGAGGTTTCTTCCTGTAGCGACTCGACTTTGAACTACAACAACACTCTACCAGAGTACACATCAAGTAGTTTATCATACAACTCGCTTGGGAAATCACATTATCTAAGTTTGAATGGCCTAAGTATGGATACAATGCCTAGCCTGCCAGAGGAATGCTCCAACGAGTCGCTGTATTGCTCAACGCCTTCAGCTCCGCACACACCAGACTACAAGCCTCTTTCACCCGCCTCGATAGATTCTTCACCGCTGGAAACCGATGTTAAACCACATCTGTTTGGCAGAGACGCTTTTTTCGAACCCCAAGAAAATTTTGCACCACAGATAAACAGTCGATTAGAACCGGCAGAGCTTAAAATGTTCGAGGCGAATGACGGACCAAAAAGTTTACCAGACTCGCCTAATTCTGAAAACGACTCCGAACGCATTGACAGTGAATCTGGTAAGTCACGAAACGGAACTTTCCGAGCCTTGAAGCACTTCCGTTCCTTCTGTCTTTCATTGTATGATTTTCTTTTCTAAGTGACTTATACTGGCGTTGTAAACAACAAATGGGTCTTAAACCATGAGGAAGACATTAAAATTTTATCTGGTGTTGGTAAATACGGACCCCTTTGTTTCTCACATGACTCAAGTTTGTGTGACTTCCCTTAGCAAGGGGCGAGGAAAGCGCCTCTCTTGTTTCCGGAAATTGGTGTAATGTCAAAAAAAAAGAACGGTTTAGTTTTTCCTACCCTCTCATATAAACCATATATACCATATAAACAAAACAGGGCTTGAATTTCTAAGACATGAGCGATTCAGCAGGTAAGCTTACAGCTCTATGTCTTGTCTGAAGAATGATCTTTGAACTACGAGATGCAGATAGATTGTATCAAGTTAAGCCATGTCAGAGATTCCACCAAACAGGGTTATTTTGTATTATTCAAATGAATCTTTCAAACTGTGTTTTCGTCAATCCCTGACCTATTTTTTTTTTATTTCTCTTTGATATCACCATCACTGAGACTTTTTTCATGGGTGCTTCAAATTCCATGGGAACAGAAATGTCTCTCGTGAATTACGAAACCTTTTCCTAGTTACGTTCAATTTTATTGTAAAAATTCATAGGTAAGAGATCTGGTTTGTTTGGAAAACCGTAATTTTGATATTTATTTTTTATTTGGTTCTCTGATTCATATCATATATGATGTCTGTGATATAAGGTTCAGATCTCAAAAAAATTAATGCTTGGTCTAGACATTTGATCTAGGCGATTCTGTCGGTGTTCTACTTTTTGTCCGAAGGTTCTCTCCTTTTCTTTGTTCACTCTGGTGTGAGATTTATGCAGTTCTTACTCATTTACTACCTCGTGCCATCTTTACTTAGAACTAAAGCTTAATTTAGTACCAGCTGTGTAAATTTAAGCTGTGTCCTACATCTATTAACATTATGCTGGACTCTAATCGTTGTTAAAAGCATTTTGCAACTAAGTGATTTCTGTTACCGTAAATTTTCTCTTTGACTTTCACAGTGAGAAAAAATGGAAAAGAAATAATTTTTTTTTCAAAATGAATGTTTTGGTTTGATAAAGGGTAAACATTTTTTTGATAAAGCTTAAAACTCATCCCTTAAAACATTTTACATTATTTGAGGGTAGCCTTTTTATGGGAAGCAAGGAGGAGCAAAATCCAAGATTGCTTTGACTGGGACCATAATTGTTTTGAAAGTAGCTGTTAAGAAATAGAAGGTTTTACTTTTGGACAAAACAATTTGCTTTCCCTTAAAGCAGTTTAGAACAAATACATAAACAGTGTCAGTCCCTCAGAAGCATGCCAATCACTTTCAAATTAAGAAGTTGGTGTCCCTCCCCCTTCTCAAAACTGAATTAAATGATTTAAAAACCTTTGAAGATGACTAAAAAAGTGGCATCCATCTGACAAACTTTGCTACTGTAGATGTGTATGTGTACTTTTAATTTACCTGTCGTGTTGTAGTCTAGTGCTGTTGATTTGAACACTCCCTAGTGACTTCTAGCTCTGCTTTCCTTTTTTGTGACAATAATTGTTCTTTTACCTCTCTAAACTTTTCCTTACCTTATTCATAAGAGTTGAGAAGCAAGTCAATGAAGTGTTCATGGATTTCTACATTTTACCCCCAAAATTAAAGTAATAATGTCCCTTGTTAACAGTAGTCTTTGACTTTTGTGGTCTTGCCATGGTAATTAAAATTGGTGGGCAGAGGACAACAATCTTTTCCAGCAAGCTTCTTAAGGCTTTTCTAGAATGAACAGTAGTTATGGCAACAAAATCATCACTGTATATTGGGAATCAGAAAAAAAAAATTTGTCCTTTTTAAATTTTTTCTTACAGCTGTAATGATGTGACAGTACACATTTCTTACCATGAAAACATAAATGTACCTTACAACTGTAAATGTTTTGACACTTAGCAAACCATCTCTTACATGTACTTTCTTTATTCAGCTTCTGGTGATGGTTATTTTAACCCTACGCTGCCTGTCCAATCAGAATTTGCGACTCTCAGAGCATGTAGACCTTACAGTAAGCATTCATTAAGCTGACATTAAACTAAAGTGGGAAGAATTTCTTATCAGACTGTAAAAACCAAGCAGAGGACTGTTTTTCTTGGTGTTCTCTTTGTTCTAGAAAGTCATGCTTTTTTTGTCCTTTGAATTTACATTTAGGCACATATTGATAAAGGAAAATGTCTTTTAAGTTACAGCTGAATGTTGTATCAGTCTGTTTTAATGGTTAGGAGCTACAAAAAAGAACAAGGAACATTTTTTTAACATTGAAAAAGTAGCTTCAATAACCGAGTAGATGAAATCATTCTTTAAGAAAAAAATCATTTTCTGCTTGGCTCTAGTTTGATTAAAATTCAGTCTACTTTTAATTAATAAAACAGAAGCTGAGTAATCAAAGATGATGTATTTAACTTTTAAGCTTGTTTCATTCTTGTTAACAATTTTCCTACAATTCTTCTGGTTATATCAATAAATGTAAGCATGTTGACACAAGTAAAATTTATTAAACATTGTGAGACACTAAAGGAAAGAAGTTGTCTACTGAACAGATCATTCTGCCTAGAGTTAACTACGACCACATCATATAACCTATTCATTTTTGACTGTTAAACATTTATGTGATTAAACAAAACAGATTTGGAAAAAAGATTTTTAAAGAATGTTGTCAAAATAATTTTTGCATAAAGGATAGACACATCTAGTACCATAATAATTTTGTTAAATGTTGAACTGTGTGTGATTCTGCCATCTTTTTTTCTTTTCTTTTAACTGTCATTTGTACCTTAAAATACCAAGCACTTTTAACTGTATGAATAATTATTTATATTTAGATTTCTTCCCTCTCTTAACCCTTAAACCCCTGAGAGTGACTAGCATCTAATTTCTCCTTAAAACATCACCCCTGAATCATTCATCAAGGCCAGGAGAATAAAGGAAATGATCAACTAAAGAAGCTCTTGATTGTTAAACAAATTCTTCTTGTCAATACCATAGGAAATGTCTAGAAAACAGTATGGAGAATATGCCTACTGATGTTAGGGTGTAAAGGGTTAACCTAAACATTACTTATGTCTGGTTGATGTCATCTCATCTATTTCTGTAGAACAGTAATGAAGTTTTGAACCCTGGAATATGGAAAAAAATAAAAGTTTTTTTCTTCTCTCCCTTTTTTTTTTGTTCTTGTGGAAGCTGGGAAGAAGACTGTCACACATTTATCACCAAAAAAAAATGGTTGTCAGAATGAGAACATGTTGCCTTAGGAACCATGTCTTTCCATTTTTCTTGTCTTCTTTTTGGTCATTTGAAATGTATATGCATTATATATGACTAACAATTTCTTCTCTGCAACATGTTTTTGTTTTCTACAGTAATTTTAATTTACATCTGTATAACAGGAAGCTTTTCTCTTGAACTGTGCTGTTTTTAGCTTAGAACTAAGGTTCTGTTAGTAATAGATTTGTGGTTATATAGCTTGTTAAGGTTTTGATAATTCTCCTTACAGGTTATGACTCTGGTTCTCGCTCCCCTCAATCCACAGCAAACACACCACCTCATATCATAGATGATTGTGATATGTCAAGATCCAGCACAGGAGAAACAACATCACCTATTATTCAGGTACACCTTCAAACTCATTTTTCACATAAAAAAGTGGAACTTCACATGTACATGTAAGAGCATAATCATTATTACTAAAACCACTTTAACCCTTTACGGTTACGAGAATAAAGGAAAGGGTTAATAAATTCATTTTCATAATTACTCAATTTAGTCTTTATCTGGTGAATTATTTTAAAATTTTGAAGCCAAATGGGGCAATGCATTATTCATGTAATAAAAATCATTTTTATCCTGTATTTGTTATTTGGAGGTCATGGTACAATGTATATCTACAAAATGTTGATTGAAAGACCAATTTTCCATGCTTCATTTTTACATGCACATGCATGTACAATGTTCTTTTACATCTTATTCAGTACGTTAATTTCCAAGTATTATTATAACTATTTTCATTATTATTATAAATATTGTTAGTGAAGTCCGTCAGCTTTTTCAAACCTGTCACTTCAAAACTCTTTTTTTGTCTTTGGTTCATCTATCTACATAGAAATGTATTGTTGAGATTTTTTTAATCAAACAGCAAAGGGAATGGAGCTGGCTTTACAGTAGTGAAAGTCACTGTGTTTTTGAATGCCTGTTTCTGTTCATTTTGTAGCATTCCCAAGAAAAACAACCCTTTTATTTAACAGATGAAGAGAGAAGGACCCTTGTAGCAGAGGGTTTACCAGTACCAACTGGTCTTCCCCTCACAAAGGTACCAACTATGAACTACATTTACTTGTAAGAAGCCCCTCCTCTACAAAGCCATTTGAGTTTTAGGTTTAGAGAAAGTCTTCCTGTAATCTGCCCTTAAATAAAACTTAAATTGCTATTTACATGCATCAGCATATACTTACTTTGTAGAGGTCACTTTAGTACTTGCTTTAAGTATTTTTAAGTTTTACAGTTGAAGAATATAATGCTACTTATAATGCTAAACAGTTTTTGTGAAAGCTTAGCAACAGCCACAAGAAAAAATAATTACTGGCTTTTTATTTCTCATTGACTGGTTGTAAATAAGCCCCTCACTGCTTTCATATCATTTTGTCAATTTTTACTTCCTATAATACCTTTCAATACTTGGTTTTCTATTCTACTGAATTGGAAAGTGCAAGAAGAAACTGCATGCACGTAAAGGTTTTTTTTGATTATTATCACTTTTAAAAGATGCACATTGCCTAAGCAATATTATGTTGATCATTTTTGTTATTATCATCGTGGTCATCACTCTCTTTCCAGCAACAAAACTGAGCTTTATTCTTACATTACTAAAAGTAAATTTTTTGTTTTAAATTGGGGTAGGTTGAAGAAAGAGCCTTGAAAAAAGTTCGACGTAAAATCAAAAATAAGGTATGTTCATTTTTATCCAAGTGTTTGTAAGTTTTTCTTTCTTTCCAAATGTGATGTTTGCTTGTTAGCATCCATGAGTCAAATATGATTTTTTTAGTTATTTTATTTGTATTACTGGTAGTTTTTTTAACCTTTTTGAAAGACCTGCAATTATCATCCTCTTTGTGATCCAAGCATCAGTTATACACAACATGTCCTTGTTGTTTAATATGGTGTGTTTTTTGTCCAACAGATTAGTTTTTTTATATTCTTCTGTTTAAACTCATTAAACTACTTTTATTGTCATTTGATATTTAGATTTCTGCACAAGAGAGTCGACGTAAAAAGAAGGAGTACATGGAAACACTTGAAAAGAGGTTTGTTTGGGAAAACCATTTTCTTTGGTTTCTTAGTTTCTTTGAATCAGGAAATCATGCTGATTGGGCTTATTTCTGTGACAAACAACTTTATTCTCTTGTATACATATATGTAGCCAGAACAATATTTATTCCTGTGCAAATAGGAGTAAAAGGCAAACAAAATTCAGGAGGTCATCATTTTGTACTAGTTGATGCAAAATTTACCTCTGTAATGCCTATCCCTTTTCAGTCATTGTAGTATTAACTAGTTTACTTACTTAACCCTTTAACTCCCAAGATCTGATTGTTAATTCTCCCCTCTGATTGGTACACTATTCCTTTTAAATAAGTTGTGAGAATTTGGTGTTAGATCAAGATACAACTTCTTCCTGAGAAGTTTGAGTATTCTTATTACCTGTTGGCTGGATAATGTATGGATATTATAGGGAGAAGAAGAAGTTACAGAATACATATCACCAACAAACCAAAGTTTCTTCTTTCCTTTTTGTCTCTACAGAGTAGAAAACTGTGCAAGTGAAAACTTAGAACTTCGCAAAAAAGTTGATACGTTAGAGACTACAAACAGGTAAGTTGTCAGAAAAGCCTGCGGGTAATGTAACATCTGTTTACTTATACTGTGTGCTATGATGCCACTATCTTAATGTTGGTGTTACGATATCTATGTTTATCATTTGTTTGCCTTTTCTTTCTAATAGATCACTTATTAGTCAACTTCAAAAACTTCAGTCATTAATAGCAGCTAAAGTTCCTCGTGCCGTCACGGCTAGATCTACTCAAACTAGTACATGTTTAATGGTAAGATTTTATTGTACTTGTGTGATGCCATTTAATGCATTTTTTCCTGAAACAACACTTGTTTGTTTCCTTTAAATATTTAGTATTATGTAATCGTAGTACCAAAGAAATACAATTCTTAAAATCTAAATAGCTAATGATTAGCCCTGTTTTCTCTAGAGACTAGTTAAGATAAATGTTCTTCGGAGCAAGAGACTTGCTTCTTTGTCAAGAAGAGATACCTATAATTATGGGGGTGATAGAATATCCCGAAATGCTCGTGAGATGCCCGTCTGAGATTCCTTCCCCCCCCCCCAATTACGCCCAACCTCCTCTGTTTAGAAAATCCTTCTCATACCTCTTCTGGAAGCATGAAAATGACCAAAGAATATTGCTACTCGCTTCACTTAGAGGGGTGGTAGTGCGTCGCAATTGTTTGTCAGGTTTTTCTGGATAATTATGATTACTATTCTCCTGGATGGAAACAATTGACCGTGTCTTCTGTAATCCCCGTTACTTAAATCACTCGCAATTTAATCTGCATAGTTCTTTTTAACCAACCTGAAGGATTATATTGACTTTAGAAAACGCCCTCATGCGCTCCCTTGGCAGCGATCAAACCTGGACAAAAGCTTCCGCGTCGAGCTTGAATTCGCACACACATGTACGTGTAGTTTAGCTCATTTAGCCTGGCCGGAGAGAACTACAGTATGATTTTAGGAAACTTCTCTGACACAGTTCATATTTTGGTGTATACTGTAGGTTGTGGTGCTTTGCTTTGCCGTATTTCTCGGTAACTGGAGCCCCCTTTCGACCACTGGCTTGAGTCTGCCGTCATTAACTAGTCCGGTTAGTAAGGGAGGTGTCGATTACAGCACGCCTTCAGGTGAGCAACGGTGAAGTTAACATAACAGTATCGTGAGCATGTGAGTCTTTTGAAAATTAAAGCATGATTTCCTTGAAAAAAAAAACAGCATTTGGAAGACCGGGTGATTTCGCGATCAAAACTTTGTTCAGAGTACGATGATAAGGTATTTAGGCTAATCATTATGGAAAGATCTTCCTATCAATGCTATTTCTATACACTTTTAGTACGCTCCCGCGTGTTGCTGTCAGTTGTCGATGATCTGGATTCAGAGGAGTTCATGGAATATGGTCCCACAAACAGTCTGTTTGATCCAGTGGACCAATTGCTACCCTCTGTTCCAGCGACGAAGCATTTAACACCAGCAAATGAAACGAATCAATTCGTTTCCATGGAAGCAGTTGCTAGGGAAACAAGGAAAAATGAAAGTCAATTAGTTGCATCCGCAGCTTAAAAATGTTTCGCACCTAAATTAATATTACAGATATTAACAATCAATTATGACAGAGGGTATTTTAGTAGGGAGCAAATTTGTAGAAAAAAAACTATATATTTTGTATTTTAAAACAGTTTGTAAAGCTAAGAGAGGGTGGCACACAGTTACATTAATTTCAACTAAATGTACAAATATTTCAATCGCTGATCACGTTCACTGTCGCTCTTGTTCTATTTTCTCTTAACTTAAACAAATTTAAATCAGACCAAAAAACCCAGTCATACATATTCACCCAGTATTTAACTAACTGTTCGTAAAGTTTTGAGAAATATTTGTATCGGTTAACGCATGATAGTTTTATGAAGTTGAAGTTTAGAGAACAGATGGGAACTTAAATTAAGTATAGGATTTTTAATATTAATTTAATAACCAAAATGTCGTAATTGAAGAGACCAATAACCTTTTTGTAAATAAATTGTACAAATAGGCCAAGAACATGCTAACAGTGCAGAGCATCCCTGTTAGTTTAGCGAAAAGTGGTGTAATGGTGCAGTGGTATTACTTTAAGAAGTTACTTTGTCATCAGTCTTTCCAATCGATTTGGGTTACCCACCTTGATGGATTTTTGTTGTTTAGTTTGTCCCTTTGTTGTGGTAGTTGTAATTTTTTAACTCTATGGAGTATTTTTTCCAGAAAGGTAACCTAATGAGTGGCTTTCCATTTTTCTGCTGTTCTGATCTTACCCACTTGGTGACCGTGTGTGGTTGAAATGCTCATCAACCACTTTCACTTACACCGTACCAGTAGAATTATTGTGTTACTTAACATCTGTAACTTTATATAGCCTTTCAAGGTTGACTGTATTGCACCGCTTAGTTGAAAGGAACTGCACTGACGTAACCATCTTTACCTGGGCACTAGTACTCAATGACATCAATAGTTTTAACGGGTTTTGTATTTCGTATCGCTAGAATACTGTATAAGATTACTAAATACTACCTTCCAAAAGTGGTTTTTATTTGAAGTACCCTTTGAATGGGATTGCCGCGGTAAAGATAATACTAATTTCATATTTTACGCGAAAGTTTGCGCCAATTTTTAGGGGCAATTGTAAAATTGTTCCTGGATAAAATCGAATTGTCCTCCTGAATCATTTACAGAGACGTAGAGGGAGAGAAGTATCATGAATAAAAATAATATATTTAGAAAAGTAACTTGTACAATATTTTATGATGCGAATTGTGATGAATCACAATGATGTCGTTTTTTAAATCTTTTTAGGCTACGGAGAGCAAGGATGAACACGTCTATTTACATAAGTACTTAAAGTTTTTCGGAATTTGCAGTTCTCATCTTTGATCTTTCGAATTCTTCGGACTCCATTGTCTGGAGTACGCACAAAATCGAAAGCTTGATAATTTCTTTAACATCAGCACCCTTAAACTAACATTTTAAATATCTGTGCGCATGAGAAACTCCTTTGTCACTCCATGATGAAAAGATTCAACTTCGAATGTTGCTGAGAGGGCAGATTTAAATTAGATGTGCTAAAACTGTTAAATATTTGACGATCTTTCCTAATGAAACGGTACCAAAGTAACGGTTGTTTATTTTTCTCTTTGTTCATCGGAAACCGAAGTGAAACCTACCGCGATGTGAAGAGGGTCGACAGTGCAATAACCGAAAAAATAGCCCCTAATTGGAGAACGGTTTGGCGAAATTTGACCACCCGCCAGATATTGATTAAACCGAGACATTTTCTGATCACATGCTGTGATCGTTTCTCTGACCACTACCAGCTGACAGGATGTTATTTAGGCATTGAATCATAACTTGGGAAAATGTTTCACCAAGTTACAGCACGGAGGCGTTTTCTGATCACATACTGTGATCTTTTTTCTCACTAATACCAGCTGACAGGATGTTATTTGGGCATAAAATCATAACTTGGGAAAACGTCTCACCAAGTTACAGCTTCCAATTATAATTGTTTCAATAATTGTTTGCATCCATATTATCCTCGAGAGGAAAATAGCATCAGGGAGTGGTCAATTAAAAAATACTAAAGCAGATTTTGTTTATTTATTTGGCTGTTTGTTTTTTCCCAACTGAGGGAAACTAGTCAAATATTTAAGAAAAAAGGTGCAAACGCTTTGTCTTTAATATCAAACAAATGTTAATTATTTTCACAACTCCTTGACTTGTTAGTGTTGTGGTAAATGGGGTTATCGTCACAGAGGTTAAATAATTCATAAGATACTTTGATGAGACACACGACTTCGTCCACCAGGCAGAGACAATTTTTATATTGCCTCAAAACACTGAAAGATGCTCTCTACGTTGTAAAAAGATTTACAAATCATATCTTAATGCAGATTGCAAACAAGTCAACGATAAAAATCATTTATTGTATACAAAAGATACATATATTTGAATTTCATTAGAATTTTACAGTGTTAAAACTGAGCCGAAGACTGGCTTTAATTCCCACTGTTCTTGGCAACTAAACATTTGATGCACAAGAGGAGAAAACCAAATTTGGTTCCTAATTGTCTTGACCACAATGTATCTGTCGAGACGTTTCTTAAAAATGAAAACTGACTCGCATAAAAAAAAACACAATTCATCAATTCTTAGAATGGGAAATGGAATTGATTAACAGGGGGTAAAACTTTTAAAACGAATTGTTTTGGAGTGTTGTTGTGATTTACATTTAGACATGACCTGGAAACGAACAATGACTAAACCTCAACGGATCCCGTTAACGGCTTTGATATGTTATCGATGGACCGAGTTGAATGTGTAGGAAAAAATATTTAACTCCAAGGTGAGACTAGCCATATTGCAAATGAATGGAATAATTTGGACGGAAACACCCGCAGATAACCAAGGCGAAGTTCAAGGGTGATTGATGTTAGTCGTCAGAATATCGGAGCCTTCGAGATTCGAACCAATTCGAGTCGAGTACATTTGGCTTGTTGATACTTGGTTGAAGAGCTTGGCTGAATTGATATGATCGATGGTAGGTCCTCGGTTTACTGAAAGATGTATCACGACCAGCCTGATAAAACTGATAAAAAATATTCGTTTTACATCTGAACAATCGATCACTGCTCGGCAACTTCTGTGCCAACACTCGTTTTGAATTTCTTCAAGAGTATCAAAGGTAGGCCGTAAAAGAGACAACTTCACTTCGAAATTTTCTATCATCACTTTGTTGTGGTTTGCCTGTCTTTTGTTTTCCATCTGTGATTTAAAATTCCCCTTAGTTCACTTTTTCACTTATTTCTTTCCATTCTTCCATCCTTTCATTCTTCTATCCTTCCATCTTTCCATCTTTCTATCTTTCCATCCTTCCATCCTTCCATCCTTCCATCCTTCCATCCTTCCATCCTTCCATCCTTCCATCCTTCCATCCTTCCATCCTTCCATCCTTCCATCCTTCCATCCTTCCATCCCTCTATCCTTCCATCCTTTCTTTACATCTATTATCCATCCATTCCTGCATTGATCGGTCAAATTTCCTTTAGTCCATTATTAGTGACTTGTCTGAACAAACAACATACAACGGACAGGCGAACTCTTTCCATCCATCCAATCATTCATGTTTTCCCCTTCTGCAATAAAACAATCCAAGGACAATAGTCGATTTTCTTTGCTAATAAGTGTCCTTTTAGGTCCTTTTACACTTAAAGAAACGGTTGTTCCCTAAAGGACTCCCGCTAAGAAGAGACATGGTATCAAGAAGTCAATTATTTATTTGTCAAGTCTTGTCTAGACTGGTCATGAAGATGAAGTAATTCTAAGGCTCTCCTGATAGTGTCAGTTTTCAGAGTTATCGAAGTTGTTAAGGTAGCACGGAACCATTCACAGTACTTGTGCAATTGATGGATGACTTTTACCTTATGTTGTCTACTGATAAAAAGCACAATATATCGAACATACCCAAAACTGCGCAATTTTTCACTTCTCATTTCTTGGCTTAATATATTGTTCAGAAATGGCATTTGACTGCTTCATTTAGGTGCTCGTAACCCAAAGAGGTATCGAATTATAATCTTATGATGATCGAATTGGCAAGATACAACTTTGGAGTAACTTCTACTGGGAGAGTTCACAATTACATTCAACGTGAGAGAAATGTCATGAATTTTCTTTAACCTAACCTGAGGCAGCATTGAGAAAGGTGCAATAAACAATCGTGCCATGAACCGCCAAACGCAACACAGCCATAGCCTAATCATGCCCTGAAGTTTCCATCTGCATCACAGATTAGTGCCGTGAAAAATCGTGTCGGTGCTTTTGATTAAATGTGAACGAAATTGGCTTGATCACTTTCGATTATTTTACATTTTCACACGAAGCAACCAGATTTGGCGGGCGATAACGATCCAGATAACAGGTTAGATAAAAATTCAATTAGAGAGCTTTATATATTATCAAATCACTCCCACCGCAGGTCAAACTTTCGTAAATCTATTTTGGTGTGTTTTGTTTTCCCGTTCATTCTTCAGACAACACTTAAAAACTGCTATAAATGCGCAAGTCCCTCAGAATTGGCTTAAACCACCGACCTTAAATCCAGGCTGCCTGTCTCTCTTTTTCAGCGCTAAAATTTATAGTTCGTGCATTGGTTGAATGGTAAAGATAATTTTTTCACCATTAATATTTCATTTTGTAAGGCCACAACGGTGTTCTTTTCATCTTCACAGCGACTGATATTAAAATCAACCGACGCTTCCAAACTGGGACACTCTAACTTAAAGGCTTTGTTGACGTTGGAGACCAAAAACAACATGGTACCCACAATCTTCGTGATTTTTGCCGTGCTAGCTGCTGTTATCTGTGTGATAGGCGCTTCTTTAAATAGTCTCGTTTGCTTGGTGTTTTACAGAACCAAAAAACTTCTTAATGCCCCGAATATTTTTATTGCAAGTGTAGCTCTGGGTGATTTGTTATACTGTGTTACTTCTCTGCCGCTTTTAGTTGTCACAAACTTTCATGGCAGATGGATCTATGGAGACTATGGATGTAAAGCGACAGCTTTTGTTGCCACGTGGAGTGGTCTCACTTCAATTATGAACCTGTCCCTTGCAGGATACGAGAGATACATTGCATTGGTGTTCCTTTATAAAAGTCAGCAAACTTTTACACGTAGGAGAGCAATTCGTGCTACGGTAGCTATGTGGCTGTACGCTCTGTTCTGGGCCACGATGCCCTTGTGTGGATGGTCGGGTTTTGAACCAGAAGGAGTAGGCACAAGTTGTTCATTAAGATGGAAATCTCGAGACAACTTGGACTTGTCGTACAACATATGTTTGATATTTGCTTGTTATGTGTTACCAGTGAGTATCATGATCGCTTCTTATTACAAATCATGCCGAGAAATAAACAAAGGGGCAAAACGAGCAAAAAAGACGTGGGGAAAAAAATCGCCCTTCACAAAGAAAGCCCTTGAAATGGAACGAAAGATGGTAATACTCTTCGGGGTAATGACCGTAGCATATCTTGTGGCCTGGACGCCGTATGCAGTTGTGTCTCTCGTAGCAATGATCGCTGGTCCTGACGTCATTGGCGAAGTTACAGCATCTATCCCGGCATACATTGCAAAGTCATCAGTCTGTTATAACCCTATTGTTTATGTTTTTCTGTACAAGAGGTTACGTCGGCGCATGATTGCTATTGTGCGGAGGCCCAAAGATTCATTTACTAGTAGTTCTCGGAACGAAACGCGCTCGGGTGACACCCTCAACCTTAAAAAGTTGTCCTATAAAAGAACAGACGGAGATAAAATTGAAAATACGAATAACAATCCCAGTTGATTGAAACTTGTAAGTAGAGAACAATACGATTGGAATTGCCTTTAGCTATTGGCTTATTGCGTGGAGATTATTCGAAAGCAAAGATCAAGCAACAACAAGATATTCTGAGTAGAAAAATCGCGCACTAGATCTGGTCTTTGAGTGTCTCACCCTGGGACAACGTTTTAAATTAGAGATTTCTAAATGATTGTTCAGTTTTTGAAATAATGTTTATACAGACGAGCCATGTGAAGTTCGTCCTCTACGTAGATGTAAATTAATTCAGTTCTTGTCTTCAGCCAGACTAGATCAGACTATACAATCAAACATGATAATTTAGTAATATAGAGTGAGTTGATAACGTAAATTGGCCACCGTAAAGAGTTTAAAAGCTGACGTTTCAAGCGTTAGTCCTTCATCAAAGCGATTGACGCAGTACCACAGTTTCTTTAGAAACTTAACCCCTTTATACAATAAAAAACTGATCTTAATGAAAATTGTTTCCTGTCGTCAAGGGACCTTAAAGGGTAAATGGACGGCAAAATCGCAAAAAAAATATAAATTAAAAAAATAATAAAATAAATTTATCTTCGGGAGCTTTAAATCCTGCTCCGAATGTCAACGATGATGATTTCGAAATATTCCGAGGGAGACTCCCTTTTATGGACGACGTTTTCTTTACTTGGCACAAGTTCCAAAGCTGGAAAGATTAAGCATTTTCCTACTTTTCCTAGTTTTCCTTACCTAGCTGCTCTACGTGATTGGTTAAAGTGAGTACTCAAACTACCCTGGCTTGGAAATGTTCTATATCAAACAGGGTATTAAGCTGATCAAAGTAAATTTACAACAATATACTTGTACGAACGTACGTACTGTCTTGTTGAACGGCAACAACACTTGAGGAGGGGACCACTGGAAAGTATTTTAGGTTATGTAAGAGTAATTTCCTTCTTCTCTGCTCTGTTTTTAAATACTGTTTAATGATCCATTCAAAAATCCCCCATATCAAGGGGAAAAGAACACAATTTTTCAAAGAGCGTAAAGTCCATATAATGTTAGGATGACAATCAGTGCAAACAACGAGGTTAAGCAGGGTTATCGGTGAAATATCTACCTGTCAAGACCTTTGTACAATAATCCCTGCGTGATGTCGAGAGAGGGCACTGCAATTGACTTGTCTCCGGGGTGTAAAAAAAACAGAAACAAACTAGCCTTTGTTTCTCAGATTTAATGAATCTTCTTGTCCTAGGAAAGCATTTTTTATGATTTGAGACATGCATGCCGTTTTATTTCAGGGCGTTCATCGGCCATATTTTGCGAATATGAAATAGCTGTGGTTTGACTTCGTTGATTTATTCTTTCATCGAATGCGTAACAAATTTGCCTTACCTCACATAGACTGCTTTTATCTCACAGCGCGAAGCAAAATCGACTACTGCTTCACAGTAAGCTCTGAAACTATGAATAGGCGATCATATGGCTTTGCCTGGGCAGTCCAAGGTAGTTCAGTCCAAAATGGAAGCGGCTCTTTTCATCAATTACCGCTTTTTTGAATATCATAAGTCATTTCAACAGACTTGTGCAGTCATTTAAATAAATCTGCACATGCTTAATATAAACAGACGTCAAATTTACTGTTGCAAACAAAGATAGGACCAACAGTAATTACACGAGAAGCTTTCGGAAGCTGTTGCGAGTTTTATGGAATACTTCTAGAATTTCTTCTATCTGTTTAACATCTAAAGCATCGTAGGCTGGCTTCATCCTACAAATAAAATCACGTTCACGTGTGAGGACAAAAAAAAAAAAAGGAAAAAAAAAACACAAAATGAGCCGACATTGGTCTTGGAACTTGTAAAGTCCTCAGATAATCGGAAAACGTTTCCTAAAATCATTTGTTCCAGAAATTTGAGATCTAGGTACGAATGCTTGATGGTCATTTCATTATTTGTTTTGGATACAAGGGTATTCAAGAGGTCAAGTCGTATAAAGGATACTCATGACGCAAGTAAGGAAGGAGTCTGGAATCGATGGAGACTGGGTTGTAAATTAGGTTCTTTTATTACGTGTCTTTGAAGCCATCCATTTTCTCAGTTTTATTAGAGGTGGGTACTTCAGTCTTCGCATGTCTAACAACTACTTGCTAATCGTCCTCTTATCTCAGACGGAGACTTTTTAGAGACCTTCGTTAGTGAGACGAAACAAAAAGGGAAGAATTCGAATACGGCCCTGTGTTCCTCAGTCCCAAAGATAGTTTCTGAAGTTATCGGAAAATTGCACAGCTAAGATTTCAAGGTGAGAGGGAAATTTTTCATGATCCATGTTCTAATTATTGAACATACAATAGCCATGTGTGTTGACGAGTTCTCGGTAGCTCAGCCTATAGAGAATCGTATATCGAAATCAAAACAAGCTGGGGTTCGAATCACCAACAGCTGACTTTCTTCGTCCCATGCATGTGAAAAATAATCATCTGTCTTTCTTCGACGCAAGAATTCAAATGCTGCCATCTTTCCCACTCTCTCTCTTAACATTAGTGATCCTTGTAACATGCTAGACGCTTGTCATATGAAAACCTTAAAAAAGAACGGTTAAGTTCCTCAACTCTTAGCTCAGTTGGCAGGGCATCCAACAGTGTAATCGGAACTTGTTGAGGTTTGAACCCCTACAAGGGAGTATTTATTACCCCACGAAGGCTCGTGGAAATATTATAACCTTCCTTACGACACACTTGTGGAGTTTCTAAATGAGTTTCAGTGTCACAACCCTATACAAAGAACAATGTTGGCATTTTTACTATACTAGATGTTCTCTATGGCCAGTAGCTTGAGAAACTAAAACAGCACTCTTTCATGCAAGTTTGGGAAACTACAGTACTGAATGACTACGGCAGTGTTTAGGTGTAGTTGAGATCTGGGGCCTAGGTGAGAAAAGTAAGGTAGAGCTTAATTTTCCCTAAGGAATTTCACGATTGTCCCATGAAAAAATGATTGCTTGTTCTTACAGCCGTGTATTGACGACTGGCTGTCATAATCTAATTATATACCGAGATTAATTTTGTGTTTTGTTTGAACAAGAACGTTTCACAAAACAAGAAAGAAAAAGTAAATGAGTCGTGTTTGGTGCATGAATCTCTTGTAAGTAAGCAGCTTATCTTGATGAATTCTTTTACAGCTTACGAGAGATGGAAAACATCACTTCTTCTACCCCAACAGTACTAAAAGATTCGGAGAATTCGCATGTAGGACTTCAGATCGCGTTTAGCCTGATCGCAGCCACTTCGTTCACCTTCAATCTTTTGTTTTGTGTGATGCTTTTGAGAAACCCTGTCATGCTCAAGAAAGCTCATAACATCTTGTTGTTTAATTTGGCCGTCGTGGATATGTTGACAGGTCAGTACATAATCCGATGATTTGTCAACATTGAGCTATAAAGCACAAATATATTTTTTCCTCTGGTATTTCTTAAAGGAGAAGGGGTTATACATCACTGAAATGTTACATCGGAAGGCTCAATGAATAAATCACAAATCACTCCCTCGACAACTTCGATAGCTTATCATCGAGGCTCTTTCGGGGATTTTTTTATGTAATGGATTGCTGCCAAAATAATTCTAAGGATAATGGATAAGCGAAATTGTTGCAGGGATAACAAAGATGACAAGTTCATCTACAGATTAACTGTACTTCATTCTCACTTTTTCACTTTGATGATGTCTGCCACATTAATTGAGTGTCAATTTTTGATCTTTGATCAAAGAGGGCATAACTTTCATTTCTGTTGTTTCCGTTAACGTTTTCATGAACATGTAGTTTGACATCGGAATTGTAGCATCTCAGGGGCGCGATCTTCGGGTAAGAAACTCGCGCTTAATACATGAGAGCCGCTAAGCATGTACTTTATGAATTAAGTTTACGTGATAGAGACTACGTTATTCAAAAGCCTCCTTGTCTTTAGACACTCCCCTACCCCTTGTCCAGGGTAACGACGGCTGTTGTCTCTCTTAACATGTAACTAACTCACTTGATACTTTTAAGGAGAATGAAGAACTGTGTCCCTATGGCCTCGTGTTTTCCAAATAGTTCTAGATATATCTCTGTTAAATAGCAATAGACGTTCATGTGCTGGAAAAAAAAATAAACAGATGAAACATATGTTGCATTTTCACACCTTTCACTGAATCCTGTCCAGAAGGGCCAAAAGATCTGTAGTGCAGAGTTTTTAATGACTTATTTTGCAGTTGTCAGCTATGCACCCTAGAGATTCTTTTTCATGGATCTCCGTCATAAGCCATTTTGCCAATCACTTAACAGTTTGACCGATTAAAAATTTCACGTACAGTCTTTAAGCATGCGGTACCTTTTCATGATTTCGTTAGCCATTAGTTGTGGAACCGTGTCGATTAACATAGTAATCACAATGTAATGGCTCACAAATGAGGTCTCTTCATTTATTTGGTAACTTTCAGGTGTCTTTATCGTCGTTACCCCTGGTTACGTCATCCTGAAGTCTTCTTACCCAGTCCCTCACGGAACAGGAGGTGAAGTTTTCTGCCGACTTCTCAGCAACAGATATTTGTTGTTCGCCATGGGAAAGGTCTCCATCCTTCTCGTAGCCTGTTTGGCCATTGAACGATGGTTTTGCGTATTCAGACCAATGAAATATGAGACACACTTTAGCAGGAAACGTGTTTTAATATACGTAAGCGTTATGTTTATTGTAACCTGCATTCTCTCCATGAATAAGTTTTTCGAAATAAGCCTTTCTGGAGAGAAATGCGTCACGAAGAAAGCGCCGTATGGTAAGGAAGGAACGCGTGCTTTCATTGTTACGTACAGTATAATTACTTTTTTTATTCCGTGTCTCTTGACATGGTTTACATTTGCTGATATAGCAGTCCATCTCCCATCCTCCCTAAATCGAAGCGCCATTGTTGAGACCGAGCGCAAGGTACAAAAAGCTCTTCTGCGCATGTGTGCTTTAGCAGCAGTCGCTCTAACATTCTGCGGTTTTCCTGCTCAAACCATTTATACCCTGAGTCCTTTTGGGATCACAAAGATTGGTAGCGCGTTACACAAAGCTTTCAATGTTCTTGTGCTTTTCAATTCATGCATGAATCCCTTCATTTATTATTTCACTAACAAGGAATATAGAAAGGCGTTTAAAGATCTTCTCGGATGCAAAGGAAAGCAAAGTGGAAGAGACTTAGAGTTAGAGACTCAAGTCACTGGATAAGTAAGTTTATATGGGGATGTGTACATAATGATCTTTTTGGCTTTGTAAAGGCAAAAAAATCAACATACAAGGACGAAGTTAGAGAGAGGGGGGGCTTTAGTCTCACGAAAGCCGATACCTCATTTTGACAATAATTTAAATGTTAATAACAAGTTAGTGAAAGACCACCTTACCTCTTTATTTTTCTGGAAAATGCTGCTTTCCCCCCTGATGGGAGGTACTTCATAAGAGGGGTGTTTTGTCCAAGTACACACGGGGGTGGCGGGGGGCTTGTGGTGTCTTTGACGGCTCCATTTTTCAAGAAAAAAAAAGTGTAATTTATGATGATACAACATCCTAGCACCATATTCTCAAACGTCAGTATGGGGAAAGTTTAAGACTCTTAAATAAATCCTGAGGCGCCAGAGTCCTCTGTCGTCTTAGCATTGGTTAAAGCCCCGAGAATAGGAGGCCTCACTCTTTAAGAGAAATGATTGGTTTTCAGGGACAAGAATGCTACAGCATTTGAAGAACGCAATAATAGTTCCGAGCCCTTAGACTGTCTTTCGCTCTCTAAGTGCTTTCCCGATTTTTTTATAGTTTCCAACGACTCGTCAATTATGTATTTGAAATAGCAAAGCTAAGTTTACTATAAATCTGTACTTTTCTTCACTTACATTTTATGATCATAATGCTATATGAACCTCCATGCTTATTATATTCAATTATCTTTCTTACATATTATCGTATAAACTGTACATATATTGTAGTCGTAGTCGTAATTAGTCGTATTTTCATGAGAGTTTAACAAACAATATGAGCCACTTAAGCCTGAAGTAAAGTTTTTATTATCTTTACAGATTTCATTACTGAGTTCCAATGTGACATCATATAGGCGCGTTTCAGATCAAAAATGAAAATGCATAGAAGAACCGCAAAAACAGTTGACTAGGCTACAGGACGCCCGTAATTTTTTTCGCCTGATGCTTCAAGATTAAGTCTACGTGCGCCTACCGTGAGACAATGATAACGATAACCTTCGATAAAATAAATCTTTGTCTTACTATAAAGTTTCGCTGGTGATATCTGACTCAAGGCAAGCGTAAACAGCACTGACCTCCATATCTTCAAACATGACCATTAAACATAGAATGAGCTACGCAAATTTTCTCTTGTGGGTGGGCACAAGATCAGATTTAATCAGTGAAGAAGTATGCTTTCGGAATGAAATGAACCTTGTTCAGGAATGCTCGTATCTTATCTTCCTCTGCTTTAGTCTCTAATAGAGAAAGATAATTTTCATTAAAAGTTGTAAACTTATCTCTATCTTATTCTGCATTTCAGAGAGATATCTTAAATATTTCTTACGGGTTAGATTTCAATATGACTCTGCATTACCGTTAGTACATCTATTACAGGGGGGGAAGGCCAGAAAAGTGACATAGAATGAGTCCAAATGGTGAATTACTTATGGAGTCTTGTGCGCGACTTCGCGCTGAAAAGACGGTTGACTATGACGACGAGAGATTAACATGCAAGCTCCATTGTTTATTGTAACTTGACCGACGGATCATCTCACCATAAATTATTGTCGGAGTTAAAAGGTTATGACCTCATACACTGTTCGTTGACTGTTTGCCTTATTGTTTTGTCTAAAAGCGTCATTAATCCAACATTGTTTATTGATCTTACGACATAAACAGCCGCAGATAACGCGCGTTTCATTTTCTGATGAAAGTCTGTCAGCATTATACTATTGCTTATTGATCGCTACTTTCATGTACTACAGTTGTTTTTCATATTACTTCCTGTTTATGCGGAAAATATCCATATAGGACTGAAATTGAGTGAAACAAGTTGGCCTTCATTAAATGGAGACGTCAAAAAGCATGCATATCACCATTCAAAGTCGTGCTTGTAGCCGAGCTCACTAATTCAGTGTTTTGAGATACTTCCCTAGATTTCAAACACTTACAGTACAAGCAAAGTAGGTTAACCTTACCTGAAACTAATAATCTCTTTTTTTCCGGTCTAAAAATGATCGAAACGCTAAAAAAATAAAGCTATGCCCGTGTGCAAATAAGGTGACAAGGCCTGTTGTATTTTAACTTTAAAGTTCCCGTCCGGTTTAGCTGCCAGTCTACTTGCCGACAGTCCGTACAACAACACGTCAAACTGATGGAAGAAACTAAGCATATTTGTCCTTTTAGACTCCAACATACAGGAGTAAGAGTAAGAGAGACGAAAAACAGACACGTTTTTCAGTTTTGTCCCAACGTTAAAGTTTGTAAATTTGTCCGAGCTGTTGTCACTATACTGTAACAGAGCGTGGCACATTTTGCATTGATGATTCAATCGAAATGTTAATCTGTATCGGCGCATTGGAAAGTATTGAAGCCAGATAAAGACCCAGTCACCGCAGCTTTACACGGGACACATATGTAAAGGCCTAGACTTTGATGACTATTTCGAGTTTTGTAGAGGTAAAAACACTAGAGCCAACCATCCATACAAAATACAAACTAAATTGGCTAAAGTTAACTCCCTTGAGTACTCCTTCTTCGTGAGAATCGTCGAAGACTGGAACAGTTTGTCAAAACATCTCTTCACTGACGAAATTAGCGCAAACAAACTTAAAAAAGGCTTAAAAAGATGGATGAAGATTTATTGACACAGAAGCTCATATTTTAATTGTATATATTTTCATTTTAAATATCATTCTTACTGTACCATTTTGTACCTGCACTAATGATTTTTACGCGCGTTTTTTATATTTTTTAATATTTTTAAAGTTCAGTTAGGGGACCTTTTATAGGGATAACCTCGCGGTCCACCTTTTCAGATATGTGTCGTGTATTCATCGTGTATCGTGTATACATATATGTATTAGAATAAAGTATTATTATTATTATTATTATTATTATTATTATTATATCTGTACTTGTCCTTAATCTCAAAAGAATTTCCTCTAGCTCAGAATGGAACATGCGGACGTTAATTCCAGTAAGGCTGTGGTTATTCTTATATGCGGGACCAATCAAACCAACATGATCCTTCTTCATTGCCGAACATAGGAAGAGGATGTGGAGGGCGACCATGGGGCAGCGGCTCCTATTTGTCGGGATTGTTCTAAAATTTTCTTTCGAGTGGTATTTTGGTATCGCCCTAGGGCTGTTGTACCTGTGCCAAAGACTTTCCGGCGTTACCAATAAATGCGAACCAATGATTAACTGTCACAACACTACCTCGCACTCCGTATAATGCATTTGATCTGCCGCCTCAATCTCTTGTTCCGAAAAACGTAAACTATTGGGTTGATACAATAGGATGATTTAGCAAGATATGCTGGGATAGATGCTGTCACGTCACTGATGACGTAGGGTCCACCAATCATCGATATAAGCGAAACTATTGCATATGGAGTCCAGGCCATGAGGAATGCCACGGTCATTATTCCAAAAAGGATGAGCATCTTGTGTTTTACTTCAGTAGCTTTTCTTGTGAAGTTCGACGACTTTCCCCAAATGATTTTTGCCCTTCTTGTTCCCGCAACAATTTCTTTGCAGCATTTAAAATATGAAAAGCCCATTACGCACACGGGCAATAGATAGCTGGCGAATATTAGGCAAATATTGAAGGTCAAATCAATTTTTTGACTCGACCGCCACCTCAAGGCACAACTTGTGCCAACACCCTCCTGTGCATACCCTGACCATCCACACAGGGGCATAACACTCCAGAACAGGGAATACAACCATAGTGCAACTGAAATACGGACAGCTTTTTGAAAGGTGATAGTTGTGCGGCTTGTGAGAGGAAACGCTAAAACGGTGTATCGCTCGTATGAAGCAGCTGCCAAATGCATCATTGAGACCAGCCCTGAAAAAGCCGTAATAAATGCAGCTGCTTTGCAACCTTTTTCTCCATAAATCCATCTCCCATAGGCGTTTGTAGCAATGAGAAGTGGTAATGTGGTCGCTGAATAAAGCAGATCACTTGCGGCGACACTTGCGATGAACACGTTCGGTGGAGTGCGAAATTGTTCGTTTTTGTAAAACACCAGGCAGATGAGGAAGTTTAAAACTACACCTGGAATAAAGATAACCGCAGACGCAACGGCAAAAGCGATGTAAATTGTGTCAACCATCTTTGCAGCGTAAATTGCAGTTGAAGGAGATGAAAGATAAATGGTTGTCAAAATTGCTTCCGTAATGGCAGAACGTTCATGGGTCAGAGTTCGGATTTAATGACACTAAGAGCAGCTGCTATTTCTGTTGGGATGATCTGATTGGATGATGGAAGTCGAACTTAGATAACAGTGAGATCTGATGCTCTTATCCGAGAACGACTAAGTCATAATACTTTTAGCTTGACACTGAAGACGTTTCACCAAATTTAGGCAACCTCGAAATCTTGAGACAAGGTTGCTGAGGATCTTTAATTTACTCCCTGACCGTCTTAATGCGATGTTTAAAATAACCGGACCAAACTGCATACATAATTGTCTCGTAGACCCCGCGTCTATTTTTCATCTGGCGAATTCTGAACTGATACAAATCATTCTAAATTTTTTACAAGAACTTCTAGTAATTGAAAACTCATTTAGTTTTCTTCCTGTGGGTTTTACAAATGGATCAACAAGAACTATCTACTCCTTCATGGTTAAGGTATCGATATTATACGGTAAAAAGTTTCAACAAGATAATGATATCGGATGTTATTAATATGCCTTACCAATGATGTTCATCTCGTAGTTGAGGCTATCTTTCATGTAGCTTGAATAGCTTCTCGCCCTCGACTTCTTTCAAAATAATTGCCCTTAACTAAAACCAACGAAATAAATCTTAACCTTTCGGGACCGCAAGTCTTTTATACGTTTCTTGCTACCTTCTTTCACCTTATTCTCATCGCCTTCTCCCTAAAGGAGAGCACTCGATCGCAGGTAAAAAAAGAAAGCAAAACAAAGTAAAACAATATTACTGTTGTCTTAATTTGCGATCGTGCCTTGTAATATTTTTCGT